AACATCACAAAACACAACGAGGCCTTACGTCAGTCTTCCTGCTGTGAGTCAGAGCACGTAACTGCAACACAAAGCTTCAGGTTTTCATGTTTTCCAGAACATTTTAAACACTGACTGTAAGCTACTGGTTGACAATCCCACCAACAGGGTGGAACACGTCAAGCTTGGTGCTTGATGCAAAGCCAAAACAAGCTGACCACCCTTCACGAGCACCCCGTCCCCCTCCCTCCGTTAGCTGGAAGGAAGTTTTTTGTTGTCAGAAGGAGGAGGCCACATTGTGTATCCCTCTTCTATTTCCAGAAACAGGCAGCATGTCAATGCGAGACGAGATTCAAATGCTAGACCAGGTTGGCAGATATCCAATGAGGATAGATGAAGAATTTGCTATGACTGAATGTGAAGCACAACACTGGAGATCACAGTCTAGAATCTGCTGCCAATCTTGGGTTGGTTGGGAACGGTATGTGGACTGTTTATTCAGCACTTTGGTCTTTGTACGAGTTCAGGGGTTCTCAGGCCTTTAATATTGAATACCACCTCAAAACAGAAGTAGCATCTTGAAGGCCTATTTTCAAGCTTGTACTGAAACACTTGAAACAGATCAAGGGTTTGACAAATGCAGGCAAACTGACTAATCTAGTTGAATACCTGACTTTGACTTCAACATTAGCCATACCTTAACACTACAACAAACTGAACTGACTAATGGTAATAATTCACTAAACTGTGACTATTGGTAACTACTGTATTTTCCAACATATAAGTCACAGATTATTGCTTAATTTGCATGCCCTACAACTTATACACCAAAGTGACTTATTTATGGATTTTTTTTCCCATATTTATAAACCAATTTTTGGCTGAGATATGACCGTTTTCATTCATTCTGACATTGAAAACATAGAACACTACCATTTTCAGCCATTAGATGGCCTTCAAGTGGTATAGCATGCCGTTGTGTCATGTAATAGGTAAAAGTGGCTATTAATGACACAATTGGCTTGCCACAGCCTGCCACCTTTATCCAGCTCCAGGATCATGCATGGAGCAACTGTCAAATTAGCTGCATTTTGCCGCGCCGCTCTGGCAAAATGCAGCTAATTTGACCATTGAAGTGCATTTATGAAGTAAAAGTTCAACTGAGACACATCTTTGCTATAATGACGAGCAAACAAATGATTCTTTTCGGTGTTTATATTGTTAAATTTCGAAGAAATGCGCAGCGTTCCTCCTTCCCCATTTCCTCTAGATGCGACTTATACGGCGAAGTGACGTATTTATGATTTTTCCACTTTATTAGACATATTTGGACTGATGCGAATTATACGGCGGTGCGACGTGTACCACGGAAAATACAGTAGTTGCGAACAGCTTTTGTAAAATAGTCTAAAAAAAACTTTCAATTTTTGTTGTGTGAGTTGCAGAGGCTTACAGCCTTTTCAATTTTTTGAACATGTTCAAATAATGTGCCTAAGATTGTCTCTCAAAATGAACAGAGCATTCACTGGCATCTCAAACCCATCACAAGCTCAGCACAGCTGTATTTTGACACCTGGATGAGAGTTATCCTCTGACAAAACATGCCCAGGCCTTTAAAGCCATGAGATTAGGGGCTATAAGGTGTGGCCAGACAGCATGGATTGTTGTGTAGAAGAGAAAAAGAGTAAAATCTGAGAAGATGAACAAATGGTGGCAGTAGAAGAATATTGTGAGAAGTTCAGAAACGCTGTTACAGGCTCTGGGTGGAAAGAAAGAGCTTCCAGATGACTGGGCTACTGCAGTAAATAGAGCGACAGGTAGGAAGGTACAGTAATTTCTGGGCTGTTGGGTGCACCTGAAGATAAGCAGCACCCACTAAATTAGTAATAATAATTTGTACATACCAGCATATTTAATACCATACTGAGAGAGTTATTTATATTGTGACAAATGCAATTCAATAAATTATCAAATATTAAAAAAAAAAAATTTTTTTAAAGTAATTAATGACTACATGGGCTGAAGTCCTGTAAGTATGATCCCTTGGCTTTGAATGAAAGTCATTTTATGGGATAAATCTGTGTCTGGCAAATTAAAAACAAGTCATTTGCAGATTATAAATTACCTTAAAATTATTCTTGTGCAATATATATATTTTTTTCAATACGCCTGACAACCCAGTTATTTTGACGAGTCACACAATGAAGACCTGGGAGAGAGTTATGGAAGCTAGACTTAGACGAGAGGCGATTTGTGAGCAGCAGTATGGCTTCTTGCAGAGAAAGAGCACCACAGATGCCATCTTTGCTTTGAGGATGCTGATGGAGAAGTGTAGAGAGGGTCAGAAAGAACTCCATTCTGTTGTTGTGAATTTAGAAAAAGCATACGACAGGGAGGGAGGAGGTGCGGTACTGTATGAAGAAATCTGGAGTGGCAGAGTGGTATGTTAGACTTGTACAGGAAGACATGTATGAGGACAGCAGGACAGTGGTGAGATGTGCTGTAGGAGTGACAGATAGCTTCAAGGTGGAGGTGGGATGCATCAAGCATCAGTTCTGAGCCCCTTCTTGTTTGATCTGGTGATGGACCGACTAACAGATGAGGTCAGGCAGGAATCCCCATGGACTATGATGTTTGCAGATGACGTGAACTGTGGTGAGAACAGGGAGCAGGTGGAAGAGAACTTAGAGAGGTGGAGGTATGCACTTGAAAGAAGAGGAATTAAAGTCAGTCGTAGTAAGACGGAGTACATGTGTGTGAATGAGAGGGAGGCTGGAGGAACAGTGAAGCTACAAGGAGCAGAGGTCACAAAGGTGCAGGACTACCAAATACTTGGGGTCCACTGTACAGGAAAATGGGGAATGTGGTAAAGAGGTGAAAAGGAGTCCAGGCAGGATGGAGTGGATGGAGAAAAGTTTCATGGGTGATTTGTGACAAAAGGGTGGCGGCAAAGGTCAAGGAAAAGTTTACAAGACAGTGGTGAGCCCAGCTATGTTGTATGTTCTGGAGACAGTGGCATTGACAAAAAAACAGGAGATAGAACTGGAAGTGGCAGAAATGAAGATGTTGAGGTTCTCCTTAGAACTGATAAGGATGTGTCAGATTAGGAAAGAGATCATCAGAGGTGCAGCACAGGTTGAACAACTGGGAGGTTGATAAAATTGCAGAGGATAGACTGAGTTGGTTTGGACATCATGTCCAGTGGAGGGACAGTGGGTATATTGGTAGAACGATGTTAGAAATGCAGTTGCCAAGAAAAAGACAATGAGGAAGGCCAAAGAAGAGATATATGGATGCAGTTAGAGAGGACATGGAGGTCGCTGGAGTGAGGACAGAGTGAGATGGACGAGGATGATTTGCTGTGGAGAGGAACTCCAAAATCCCTATCTGACTGAGGAAGTCTTCCGGATGAAAGATGAAACGTTTCTAAATTTTATTGTTGTTGTTGTTTTGCTTTGTTTTGTTTTTGAATGTCCAGAGGACCAGATTTAACTTTTTTAGATTTAGCTCTTCAGGTTAGAATGCACTAACACATTTATTTGGTTTCTAAAAGTGAGTTTTTTTTTCTTTTATATGTATATATTTTCATACTTAGTTTGTTGAGGTCTGAAACTAAGTTTCAATGAAAAGAAATCTGAAGTCATGTTGTTCCCTCCCAACGACACGATCACAAACCACTGTATCGATCTCTCCGCTCTAACCCCGTCAGAAAAACAAAGAGTCACTAATCTGGGAGTGATAATGGACCCTTCCCTGAAACTTAACAGTCACGTAAACATGATTGTTAAATCATGCTTCTTCCAACTGAGGCGGCTGTCTAAACTGAAGCCCATATTGTCCAAAAATAACCTGGAGACAGTAATACATGCATTCATTACATCTAGGCTTGATTACTGCAATTCACTCCTGTTTGGTATCAGTCAGACCTCCATTGCACGACTACAACTGGTCCAGAATGCAGCAGCCCGATTTATAACCAGTACAGGCAAAAGACTGCACATTACACCAGTTTTGGCCTCACTGCACTGGTTACCGGTTCACTTTCGAATCCAGTTCAAAATACTCATGTATGTCTACAAATCACTGAACAGTGTCGCCCCCCCCCATCTCTCCGATCTGCTACAACCGTATGTCCCACCATGTTCCCTGAGGTCAGCAGACCAGTTGCTCCTCACAGTTCCAGGATCTCGTCTTAAGCACAGAGGTGACAGGGCCTTCTCTGTAGCAGGACCAAGACTTTGGAACGAGTTACCTCTGCTTGTCAGACAGGCCCCCTTCCTCTCGGTTTTCAAGTCCCGTTTAAAAACTCACTACTATTCAGTAGCTTTCAACACCAGATGATCTGTGTTTTGATCCTGTACGCTCCACACTGGTTAGTCGTCATTATCTGCATCGTTTTTATGTCTATATATATGATTTACTTCATTTTGTATATTGCTTTGTGTGTTACCTGTTGTTCTGTCTGTACAGCACTTTGGTTGGCCTTGTCGCCGTTTTAAGTGCTTTATAAATAACACTTTTGACTGCAGCTGTGCATGACTGAATCTGGAGAAACATCATCTGGTAGTGTAGATGTGCAGAAAGAAACGAAGAGGAGGCAACGGATGCAGAACCATCTGTAGGAGTATCATGAGGACCAAACATAAGGAGGGGGATGGGACTACTTTAGATTACCTCATCCAGTGCAGTTTGTGTTCTTCTAACCTTCAAGGCTTTCTGCACCTATCAGGAGGCAGCCATCAGATGTTAAGAGGATGATTCCGGTGTTTGTTCTCCATATGAATGTGAATTAATCCCCTTTTATGATGATAGGAATTAGATTTTGCATTAAGAGTGGGGTGTAGAGGTTGTGGGTGACATTGCAGCGCTACTGTCACGATTTATGGATCAATTTTCGACCACACCGTCTTCCTAACATTCCTTAGTCTCGACAAGATAAAACAACTGCTGCGGAAAAAGTGACGTCAATGACTCGACCAAACGTTGAATGAACTGATTCCAGTGTGTGAATAAAGACTTACATGTTGCTTCTGGAAGGGTATTTTCCTCCATTTGCGGCGGCAGTTCCCTCTCTTTCTGTCCTTTTGTTCACTCAGAGGAGACGTGTGAGTCTTTGGGCTCGTCCTCTCATTCCTTTAGGCTCGACGAGGGGAAACTTAGCCGAGTCACTCCAGTTGTCTGAGCCAAAAATATAAAATCCTCGCGACCGAGTTTGTCCAAATAAAACGTCAGTAAAACTGTTGGTGGACACACCCGTGGCTGCGAGACTCCTTCAGATAAGATAAATAGAAATAAAAAAATATATATATCCGGGGGATTTTGGATACAGAAAGACAGGAAAGAAGAGGGGGCGAAGTTTCTCCCTCCGCCTCGCCTCTACAGCTGACGATCATCTCCGGCGGAAGATCCCACCGCGCTCCGAATCGGACTGTACCATTACAAAAATGGAGGGGAGGAGCATATAATAGTTATTATTTTTGAAGTACAAATATATATATTTTTAATTAAAAATGAAAATAAATTGCTATTACATAAAAAAAGTTTTCGTACTAAACGTTTAAATAAGCCTAATTATGAAGATAATTAAAACGTTTTAAATGTGAGAAAACTTCGTCCCCCTCGAGCGAGGTGCTTAGTTCTTTCACCCATAAAACTTTAGCTCTTCGGTATCCTGATGCATGCTCAATAATCCAGGTAAAAAAAATCTAAAAAAAATTAAATCTGGTCCTCTGGACATTCAAATAAAACAAAACAAAGCAAAACAACAACAACAAAAAAATGTAGAAACGTTTCGTCTTTCATCCGAAAGACTTCCTCAGTCTGACATTGGGACGCTCATCTGACAGTTCATTTGTACCACTTAATTTCACAGCGTTTGGGAATCCCTGTCTGACTGACGAAGTCTTCCGGATGAAAGACAAAACGTTTCTACTTTTTTTTTGTTGTTGTTTTGCTTTGTTTTGTTTTTGAATGTCCAGAGGACCAGATTTAACTTTTTTAGATTTAGCTCTTCAGGTTAGATTGCACTAAAACATTTATTTGGTTTCTAAAAGTGAGTTTTTTTCTTTTATATGTGTATATTTTCATACTTAGTTTGTCGAAGAGCTGCTCAGTCTCGTAAAAAAAAAAAAAAACTGGATTGTGTGCATTTTCACCAAACACAAATAAAGACCAAAAAAAAGAAATATAAACAACACAAATTCATACTTTAATTTCTATAGTAACGTTCCAGTATTTAGCACTTTTGTCAGTTGAAACACATTTTCACTTTGAGGAATTTATAACCCCAGTTTCGGAAAACAAAAAAAGGTGTAATTTTGAGTAAAATGTAAATGTAAATAGAAAGCAACTATTTGATTCAAGGTTCTTTATTTGTCAAACCTCATATGTGTCATTTGCAAATCTCATAAAGTCTTATATTATTCACGATGGATGGAACATAAACTCATCAAATGTACTGTTTTTGGAAGAGTAAAAAGAAGAATGTAAGAAACATTTTTCTGAAATTGTTCCATGTTTTTAGTCACAGTTTTCCTACATTGGTAAACCTCTGTCCATCTTTACTTTTAATAGATTTTAGTCACTTGAAAATGCTCTTTTTATTATCCAGCCCATTCTCTGACCTGTTGCTAGTTACTGTACCCTAAATGCTCATCTGGCAGTTCATTTGTACCACTTAATTTCACAGCGTTTGGGAATCCCTATACACACTTTTTTCAGATTTGTTGCTGCCATAACATTCAAAACTACCTTGCCATTCCCCCCCAAAAAACTGGTACAAATTCTTTCTTGTTTGATATACAGTATTTAATGTTCCATTGTGAGTAAAATGCAGGTTTATGGCATTTGCAAATTCTTGCATGCTGTTTTACATTTTGGCATGTCTTGACATTTTCACAATTGTGGCTGTATATTATTTCAGATTATCTGTTAGTTCTCTGTATAGTAGTAAAACAAGTTTAAGACACTCAAAGGTGTTTGCATCAGTTTTCACGGTACTGTATATTGCTGTGAGGATATCAGTCCTACCATACTACAACTTGGACTTAATTCATTGAGTACAATGACACATTGTTGAGATGTGAACTGCCTTTCTTTTTATTCTGAACACTTGATTCTCTTGACAACCTGTTTTCTGTTTGGATGAATGATGTTTCTGACAAGTTACTCGTCTCGAGTGCCATGGACGATGGAGTTTTGGTTGATAAACTGAACAGTCTTCAAGAATTTCAGGGAGTCTTCTTGTCTACCACCTGCAGATATCAGAGCATCTGCCTGGGTGGGGGCTGGGCCAGAGGCTGCTCGGCACGCTTGAGAGGGGACACCCGTTTATAAAGGGCCCATGGTGGTGTTCTTTTGTGCAGCTGCTGAGCAGTGCTCACCATAACCCCCACGAGCCACCTGTTAATGCAACTAGACTGGGAGAGATGTTGAAGGAGGTGGGGGTGGATGCTCTTTAAGATGTGTGGGTTAGATGATTTTCCAGAATTAAGAAGCAAAAAAAGAAACGTTTAAAAGTGCCAGGTCTTGAAATTCTTTGTTCAGTCACAGACATTGCTTTTAACAACCAAAATCCTAATGGTCAGGGCAGATTATTTAGCTTTTGCACTCATAATTTGACACAAACAATGCATCTATAATAAAATGCTTTATTTTTTTTATTTTATTTTTTTGCTTTTGGCTGATGTAAAAAAATGTTTTTTAGCAACCTGAAAATAAAATAGCTCTGCAACCAGACTGCAGACAGATTACTGGCAGACATTCTGTCAGTAATCTGATATGAAAATAAAAAGGCAGGGGATGAAAGCATACCTCCTTATCAGAAGGTGAGTTTTAGTATATCTCACACTGGAGCTCTGAGCCATTCAAATTAAGATCTATATCAAGCAGTTCAGTCACCATTAAATGTAATTTGTAATGCAATGTTGCATGACTTTAGAAGGTTCTGCAGAATTAAACTGTTGTGACTGCAGTGATGATGTTTTAAGCTAATTTTTATTTTAGCCCAGTTAAAAATGTGTTTCTCTTTCAGGTGACCTCAGTGCTCAAGGGTGGAGCAGAGTTGCTTTTTATCCTTACTCTTGTTATCCAAGAAAAGACTTCATTTTGAAGCTGCAGCTGCACTCCACACAAAGAAAACCCCACCACACATACACACATCTCATTAAACTGTCTTTGATCGCTGCGAGTGCGTCGTTCACGGACAGAAGGCTGTTAGGACAAAACACTGAGAATAGGCAAAAATCATGAAAATAGCTGCAAAGTGATGACATCATTATAAACAATTCCTGAAAACAACAAGGACAGGAGAGACTATGATGATCAAAGGCAAAAGCAGCTAAAGGAGGAAGGAGAGACGGCCTGAGATGTTCTGTAACTACAGATCCTGCAGGAAAGGAAGGATGTGATCAAAGTCTGTTGTACCTACTTTTTAGACAGAACTGCTGAAAAAGAGGTCAAACAAAGAGATTTGAGCTCAGGTTCTTAAAGCAATTTTCAAAGAACATTTAGGTTCAAGGGTCTTTATTGTCATTTGCAGCACATGTGGTACGTGAGGTGGAACACAATTGGTGTACACAGGGTCCCAGTTACATCCCAAAATAGCAAAAATACAAAGTATAAAATAAGAAACAGCATATAAGGTTCTAAGATAAACAATAATAATGCAATATAATATGTTGTATTAAATCTGGACATGAGTGAGCAGATGGGTATGAATACAGCAGCTTAAATGTAAGAAATCAGCAGTATGGATAATCAGCAGCACAGAAAAAAGTGTCAAATATCCAATTAAAGTGGCATTACAATGATTGTTTTGGATATAGATTTATGAGTCTAACAGCTTCAGGGTAGAAGCTGTTCCTCAGTCTAGTGGTTCTACACTTAATGCTCTGCAACCTCCTTCCTGAGGGGAGTCGGGCAAAACGTGTGTGCTGGGTGAGTGGGGTCCTTCATGATGCAAGTGGCTCTCTCCCTTCATCTAGAGGTGTAGATGTCTGTGATGGTGGGGAGGCTGACTCCAACAGACTTCTGTGCAGCCTTCACCACTCTCTGCAGAGCTTTGGTTTCTGCAGCTGTGCAGCCCCCGTGCCACATGGTGATGCTGGAGCACAGGATGCTTAGGATGTTTATACAGGTTTGTCAATAATATGCCACTGCACATCATTTTCCATTATTTCCAACACACTGTAGCAAATATTGCCAAAAAGACCAGCCATATCTTAATTCTGTCAGATTTACAGCAAAGAGAAATTAGTTTTTGAGTTACATATGTTGATCAAATCAAACAGTACAATGAAGACCAACATTCTGCACACATGAACAAAATTTGTAATGGTTTAAAAAAAAAAATCTGCATGTAAACAAAGATCACTCGTATTGTTATGATTACAAGGTAATATTGAATATTTATAGTTAATGTGGAAAAATTGTCAATCCAAGCAGTTTCGGTGCTACTTAACTACTTTATCAAAACATTACTCTTAATTCCTATTATTAGTTATTTGTGTTGTCAGTTTGATTATTAGTTGTTGATTATTCTATTTTTGAAATAAAACTTTAAAAGACTTAAGAAATTCAGCCTCCTCATTTGGTAAATATCTATTAGTTGTGGTAAAGAGCTCCCTGTAAATATGTATTTCTCTTCAGTGGTTGAGTTCCAAATATGAGGGGTGAATACATTAATCAACCTGTTTTTATTGCCCAAGTTAATCTGGTGCCCCATCTCTACGAGGTAAATAAAGTAGAAAAAAGGGGAATAAGCAGCACCCTTTCTTTCTTCCTCATCACTTTCTACAACATGAAACTAAGTAAACAAGCTCAATAAACTGCTCTAAGTTTGAACTCACATTAAACCAGACCACAAAACACGCCTGAAACTTCAGATAATTATCAACGTTAAGAAGATCTGAGCAGATGGGAGATATAAATTTGATTTCAGTTCATAGTTTTACTCAAACTAGCAGATAAGAGTGACTTCAGTGAACTTCATTCAAAAACGAATCACAAAATGTCCTCAAAATGATGATTTCACATAAATTAAAAGTTTGGATAATTTTATGAAGCTTTAGTGCTTATTAAGTTCAATCTATATTGTTTTTATTTTTACAAATAATGTTGGCCATAACTTTATTCATTCAAGCTTTATTTAAACAGATCAATCACATTGAGCATGAAAGACTCATCCATAGCTTATCCAGAAAAAGTTCACATTTTTCAGATTTTCCACTACCAGTGGGATCATCAGTCAGCTGTGAATGGTAAGGCTGACCCTCTCATCCTAATAATCAAAGAACAATAGCAGGAATGTTTAGAATGTCCCTAAAGAACTGATCCAGGCCGTGGTACTGAGTCCACAGTCTGCTCTGAGCAAACTGAATTGTTTG